AAAAAATATCGATCCCACGAGGAAGGTGATTTTATGTGATGAGTGATTGTTGTGAATATTTGCAAAAGATAATAAATTGAATTTTAGAGGAGAGAAGGAAGAATTAAAGAATAAATGAAATCACAAGGCAAGAAATATGAATTAATAAAATCAAGAAATAAAACTAAGAATGAAAAGAAAATTTAAGAAAGTCAAGATGGAGGATTCAAAAGAGGTAAGAAATCTAGAATATAATCCACTAACCAATTTCAATTACAAAATATAAACTATTCTCTTTTTATCATATTTCAACTTAGATTTATTAAGCATAGATTATCAAACCATTTAAGGAAAGTGTAACCTATCAAATTATCATCTAAGTTAAAATTACTATTCATGATAAGAACAACAACATGATAATAATCCTAGAATTCATAAGCATAACCTATCAAACCATTTAAGATAAGCATAGATTATCAAATTTTTCTTCTACCGATTAGTTCTCTAGTTGATTATCCTAAACATGAACATTTTAAGTGCAAGAGAATAATGCATCCAATATAAAGGAAATTAGACTAGTTTCATACAATTCTAAGATTCCTACAAGAATTAAATTCACATCTTAAGAAATAAAAACAAGAAAAAGAAGACTAATTACAAAATTAAAAAGAAAAGAAAAATCTAAACTATGAACAAGAGATAAATCTAACTACAAAGAAAATAAAAATCTAAACTACAAAATAAATTGCAGAAATTAAATGCAAGAAAAATAAATCTACTTTACAAATTAAAGTGCAAAAAGAAAATAAAAAAAAGACAAGAAAGTAAATCTACACTACAAGCATGAATTTAAATCTAACTAATAAGCAATAATAAAGAAATTACTAAAAAGAAATAAAAGAGAAAAGAAATGCAAACCTTCAAATTGCTCTTCATCTCCATCCTCATCATTCAACAAGAGGAGAAAGAACAAGTTTAAAGAGGAAAAAATTATTTTTATTAATTGCAACTAAAGTTACAATTTTTAGAAGGCCTTCTCAATTAAGAGTAGCCCTCCTCTCCAAAAGGAGTTTACAAAATTTTCACACCCTTAACCCCTCACTCTCTACCCCTATTTATAGAAATCTTTAACAAATATGAGCCATTGGATTTGTCTTGAGCCCCAAGCAACAATTTCCACCTTTGATTTATTTGATTTTCAAAAGAAAATCAAAGTCCAATTTGTAGCAGCTTGTCTTCATTTGATTGTTAAGGCAAAGTCCGGTCCATCTTGAAAATCTGCAGCACATGCATTCATTTATTTGAACAGCCCAAAGTCCAAGTTCGGTCTAATGTTAAAAAATGAAAATGTAAATCCCTCAATCAAAGCTAATGTCTAGCCCAAGCAACACTTCCTCAGCAATCAAATTTTCAGCAAAACAAGTCTGGCCCATCTTCATTAACCAAGTCCAAATTTCATTTCATTTCCAAAGCAAAGGTCCAAGCAAGCCGGCCCACTTGAGAGCTTTTGATTTTGGCCAAATTAATGAAGTCTGCAGCAAATCAATGTAATCCGGTCCTATGCATAAAATTAAATCCCCAGCCTAGCAATGAAGTCTGGTCCTATGCATCAAATTAAATCTCCAGCCTAGCAATGAAGTCCGGTCCATTTCATGTTAAAACCCTTGATGTAATCTTTTCGTTTTGGGCCTTCAAAAAGTCGAAAATTACACTTAGGCTTCTTGAATCATTTCTTTATTTAATCAATGGGTTTTTTTTGTTGAGAGATGGGAAGTTGAGATTTATTCTTCATTAATCTGTAATTAAAAGATAAAAATAATTATTAGTGATATATTTATTCATATAAAATAGATAATGAGGGTATAAAATTGTAATAAAATGTGATTATCACCTGCTGATGAGCCCTAACGCCACCTGATCCTGAATCTCAGTCACGTGCGCATCAATATCAGCATCAATGCTATCTAAAACACGGACCTGCGAGGTAAACAATTTATTAAGTACCAACACAATAAAAAATGTTATAATTTAGCTTAGAAACTTACGTAATCTCTCTTTTTCATCCTACTAGGGATGTAACTATCTGTCGGTGGGCGTGGCATGTGTTCAGCTGACGGCTGTGGGTCACGCGTGATCCATCTACGTGTGATACCCCAATACCAACGCATATACGCGGTATAGTCAACAGCTATGTGCCTCGTATCCTGTATGAAATCCCACATGTGAACCCACCTGTCTATGTAGGCCTCACGGACTACGACCCAGTCAGTATGGTGCGATGTAGGGCACCGTCGATGATCGATCTTCTCAACAGGATCTGAAATATGCTGAGAGAGCGTAAACTGCCGTAGCACACGGTCTATGACATGCATCTCCACGATCTCCCAACAGATCAATGGAACTCTGTCTCTCCACAAGTCGGGACTATCTCTGCAGATAGGTGCAAGAGAATGCATATCGAGCTCCGGCAGTGTATAGGGTCTCCACTTGAACTAAAATAAAATAAAACATTTATCAGTATCATACAGAAAAACTATAATATTCATACTTCTTGAGTTTTATATTTACCCGTTCGTATTGGAGGCCATCAAGCTCATTTCGGTAAAACTGACGGTGACGCGTCGCTGATCTGTACTGAGCGTATTGCACGTTATACCTATATGCAGAATATCGAATATATAAGTATAAATTCAATACGAATAAAATATGTGTGTACAATTGTAGGATGTCTAAAAATCACAATGGATAGCTGATCCCCATCAAGCCCCGACGATGGAAGTTACAATCAGACGACTTTCTAATTACTGCATCTGCAACTCTACAACCGCTATAAACACGATCTCATTTCTGAGATGATTGATCTTGATGGTTGTGACAACAACATGACTAATATTATATTAACAACTATTAGAGATGCTGATGAGCAGTGTAATGATTTTAGAAATAAAAGGTTGGACTTAGTTGGTGAGTTGCTTGGTAGAGAGCTGTGGGCAAATATTCGTCTAAAAATCACTATGGATGTTTGATTCCCGTCAAGTTCCAACAATGGAAGCTACAATCAAATAGTTTTCGTGCCGACAAGTGAAAGCTGCAAATAGAGGACTTTTCATATAGATCGAGAAGAGTTACAATTCAACGACACTTCCAACAACTGATGAAAACTCTATTCAATAGTCTTCACAATCTACAGTGAAAGTTATAATCTGACGACTTTCACATTCCACAACAGCTAAAGCTAGGATTACTGAACAACGGTCCTTGCAACGCTCTTAGAAGAGGTTACAGATCAACTAATCCCTTCTAAAACGCGAAAGTCATCCCCGCGTCACAATTTTGGGAATGCAGGCGACCCCCACGTTTCCAAGCTATAACAAGCCAAACGTGAGCGACCCTCGCGTTCATTGGTGTTTAGCCAACACCGACCCCCGCGTTTCCAAGCTATAACAAACCAAACGCGAGCGACCCTCGCGTTCATTGGTGTTCAGCCAACACCCAACCTCTCGTCTCAAGTCTAAGAGGCGACGTTGGGTTCTGAACGCTAGATTGGGCGTTTGACTCGTTCGAATACGAGCTGAACGGTTTCAGAACTGTTTCCCCACGATCTGAGGAAATCACGCCCACTTAGGAGCGGATTTAGAGGGCAGTTACAACCTCTTATCCACCTATAAAAACTCAACAAACTCAACTGAGTTAAGGGTTGGCTTTTTTTGGGTACGAAGAGGCAGCAAATTAGATCTTCAGGATCTCGACTGCACAGAGAGGTGTGAGAGAGGCAAAAATCCTTGGAGATAGGATTTTTGAATCAAGTCCAGAAGATCAAAACCGAAGGGATTCTTCAACAACAGAATATCTGTTTGGTCATTAACCGAATTTTTGGTTCTAACAACTCTATTCACAGAGTTCTAACTCATTCAGAGTTCTTAAACCCGTACAAGAGTTACTCACAAAACTTTTCCACAGAAGTTCATCATTCCCACGAGATAAAATACGGTCGGATCATCAACGGAGAGCAAGTTCGACGCGAACAATCGAAGGAGGCACTCCATCGCTACCTTGAAGAACCCAGTTTTAAACAAAGGAGAGAACCAAATTCGTTCTCTTCTCTTTTGTAATCGAATTGTAACCGGAATCAAAGAAATACAAGTCAATTTTCTTTTGTTCTTTTCATTGCAATTTTTTCAACATACAACAATTATACCTGTATGCCAAAAGATACTACCCCTCCAGGTCATGGTGCATAAGTAAAGTGGGTCGTCCAATATGAATGCGCTCACATGACCAAATCTGTATCAACGTGCAGCATCCCTTGAATTCTTTATTTTGCATCAGAGATACTCTACCCAATTCTCGATACAAGTATGCCAACACCGCACTACACCACGATAGTGCGCCGCATACACCGAAATCCTCTAGCTGTAGTAGCCATCGTGCATGTACGAGAGTCTTGTTCGCATCAGGAAATAGTATGCACCCTATCATGTGCAATATGTACGCACGAGCATGAAACTGGAGCGGCGGCGGGCATTGGGCGGCGGGCGATTTGGGACGAGGGAGGTAGGCTAGGGTTTATCGGCTGGGTCAACGCGACGCCTTTATAGGCACCCAAAACTCCACGGGAGTTCAACTCCCGTGGAGTTACAACGGCATTTCCCAGAAGCGCTTTCTGGGAAATGCGTCTGTAACTCCACGGGAGTTGAACTCCCGTGGAGTTTTGCATCACTTCATAAATCTTCACGGGAGTTCAGGGAGTTGAACACCCGTAAAGATTTATGAAAAAATTAAACTTCACGGGAGTTCAACTCCCGTAAGGTTTAAAAATACACTAAACTTCACGGGAGTTGAACTCCCGTGAAGTTTCCCAAATTTTTTTATGAAAACCGACCTATTTTCAGTGTCTGAGCTAAAAACAGGTCGGTTTTTATAAAATTTTTCAAAACCGGTTGTTTTTTGCAAATAAAAACCCAAAAGGATCGGTTTTGAAAATTTGTCCTCCAAAACCCTGATGACAAAAATACAGCCATAACGAGGGGTTTTCATCCCCTCACCGAATCAAAACGCTACCTTGGAAAAAGGTGGGGAAAAAACTGAACATGCTAACATCTCTTCGTCCGTCATGCAATCTACCCCTCCGCCGCTTCATCTGCAAGATCCACCACTCACCATCTTTCGACCACCCCCAGCTCCCCCTCTACAAGGAATCCTTCGCCAAGCGAATGGCCATGGCTGGGATCAAGCCCCACCATCGGATCGGTAAAACCCTAACCCGAAGAATACTGACCCCCTTACTTATTTCCCCTTAATTTGATCCTGTTCTTGAATCTCATCCAGCTTTGGGAGTATCCGGTGGGCCCGACAGCACGGCGCTCTGCGTGCTGGCGACCGGGTGGAAGTCCGATTGCTTGGCGAGGAACGAGGGTTCAGGGTACATCGATGGGCTACTGGGGATTGTTGTGGACCATAGATTGAGGCCCGAGAGCGGCGACGAGGCTGATTTGGTGCGAAATAGGGTTTCGAAAATGGGTGGGTAGTTGTATTTTCCTTTTTGTTCTTTAATGTTTTGGCATTTTTGAAGGGGTTTTAGAAATTGCTTTCTTATATATTTCATATTTTTAAGGAAAAATTGCTTCAATGCCCCAAAATTCAAGTTTCAATATGCCACGGCCCCAACTTCCCCAAATGTGCTGCAGCCCCTATAATTTGAAAAAAATATGTTCAGACTCATCTCCCCAAGTTTTAATACAACCTCCTCCAAAATCCCGATTTCACCCTCTCCCCTACACCTCCCTCCTCCTCCGTTAATTATTATAGATAACATGTTAACTCTTACCGATCACACATTGAGCTCAAAACATATTTATAAAATTATAATAGTTAACATGTTATCTATAACAGTTAACATGTTATCTATAACAGTTAATATGAGCTGGGATGAGCTGACATGAGAAAGAGATGGTAAAATTGGGATTTTAAGAGCTGTCATGTCTAATCATGATGGAGGGTCCTGGACATAGTTTTTTCAAAAAAAAGGGGCTGCAGCACATTAAAAAAGTGTGAGGGGCTGGTGCACATTGAAACTTGAATTTTGGGGCCTAGAAGCATTTTTTCCTAATTTTAAATTAGTTCTCCAAATCATTGAAATTGCTATGTAGTCCCCAAATTCATATTTTTTAAATTACTTCTCCAATTTATACGTGTAT